TCTGCTATCTGCAGTTCTTGCTTCGAACTCCTGATCAGCACCCTTCTTCCCCTCCTGTATCCTGTCTCCAATCCCTGCCTCCAGAGCCTCATCGGGGTACCCACCGCCTCCAAGCACTGTCACCGTTTATCGTCCTGAACTCCTAACCAGCAACTTCATCCCTCCCCACTATCTCGGCCTCAGCCGCACTCTCTGAACTATATCTAGGCAACTACCAACAAACACACCCCAACCACGCCAATCCTCCCACCCATCACCCTCGGGGCGACGCAAGCCAGCCGCCAGACACTGGACAGCGCTACCCAGCGCGTCCGGCAAAGTTCCAGCGAGCGGCACCGCGAAATAGTGTTGGCAGAGATGGTAGAGCAAAGCGCTAGAAGGCCAAGGCATCACAAATCACCGGCCGAGCCGAGCTGAGTTTTAGTAATTGCCAGAATTAGCAACAAAAAGAACAATAAATCAGCTGGTGGTGCATACTCCGCTGTTATTTACAAATTCACAACACCTAGGCACTATTTCTGTAAATGTCGACTGGTCTAATATCAAAGTAGCAGTCAAATCGATTTTTCCGATCCTCATCACTGTGGTATGTAAGGTCACGTATTTGGCTAAAACGGCCAGAAAAGACGTTAATTTGACGGTCGAGGTTAGGGTGACAAGAATGGTAAAACTTCTCACAGTACTGATTCGTTTTTGTTAGATAGTTTTGTTCAAGCGATGCAGTTGGCCAGCAAGGAGATTTTTATCGATAATCCGGTTTCTCAGAAGCACTTCATAGTGAATGTACTTCCCAAATTCCATCACAAGTAGCCATGGCTTACCGAAGATGGAGAGTCCGCTTTGGCAGAAGCATTATTTGCTTGCCGCGGTTTTGAGTAGTTCTTGCAACGCATCCTTCCAACACACGTAGCAGATTTCTCAAGCCACTTCAGCAGCCTAGCACTACTTAATTAAAAGTTAAAAGAAAGTGGTGTCAAAAAGGCCCATCCGCATCAACCTGGTTAAGCTTTGAAATTTAACAAAATTAAATGTTGTCAAGAAACAACAGCAATAATCCTGAAGAACAAAAAAGAACTTTTAAATACTAACTAAAATTAGTCGAAGTAACAAGAACCTGCAGAGTAAATTCATTTGAAAAAATGCAAGGATCTGATAATCAACTAACAGCTGTATTAAAAAATTTTACTTAATTCGGCAAAAATTTGTTGAGCGTTAAGAATATTTGATGGTGGTTCAACAGACGTTTCGATCACTGCATTAGTTGGAGCCGTCTGAATTCTGGAGCCCGCGGTGATCGCCGATGCCAGTGACGACAAAATATTACCCTGAAATCTTAGTTTGAGGCCAAACTTTCCTATTTTCGTTTCTTTTATTTTATCATTATCAAGATCAAAAGATTTTTTTTAAATGGTAGACTTTCGGACGGCGAAAATTTTTGAAACTTTTGTAACTTTGCGCAAATTACCTGCTTCGAAATTGGTAAACTAAGCATATTCCGTGCAAATCTCGCGAGATTTTCCATTGCATCAGAGGATGCCAGAAGCGATGCAACACTATTACCGAATGTGTTTTGATCCGTGCCAGCACTGGGCGCTGTTAACGGTGCAATTCTTGCTTGTGATTGAGTTAGAACCGCTTCCACAATGTTGTTGCTAGCTGGCGAAATCGGTAGCGGTGGTACCGGACTCAGTCGTGAAAACTGAACGCTTGGTATCGACCTGTCTGATAAACAACACTTTCGTAATTTCAATAAATTTAAATTATTTTTACAAGTGTGACTGCGCAGTGTGGTGTAACAACTTACTTTTTTGCGCTTTAACAACATACCGTGATTTAAGGAACATAACCCTTAAAGACAAAACACAGAGACCTTTCGAAAGGCCCTAAGCTCTTTTTTCTAGAAGATGTACTAAATCTGATTAATAGCATTGTAATGGCAACACATAGTTCAGTATTCTGATCCCAACATCAATTACAGCAAAAACCAAGTTGCTTTGAAAGCTTAACACACAGTTTTGTCGCTGGTTTCAGAAGACCTGGTAGGTTGCTGTATGGGTGCCCGGTCCTTGACCTTAAAAGGCATCTTGTAGAATGTAACAGTGAGGTAGAGCTGAAAATAGCTGAACCGGGAGCAAAAACGCGGCTGGTACCGACAGACGGAGAAATGGATAGCCGTAGGAGCCATCTCTCCTTGGCTGTTACAATAATTGGCCAACGCACGGGCTGCCCGTGCGAAGATGCATTTTTTGCGTAGTTTCCCGCAATTTTTGTCGCTACTGGCATCGGTTTTTTCAGCAAATGTTTCTAGCTAAACAAATTAAGACTGGCCGCCAGAACTGGCAGGAAACAACCCCTTAAAATTTCAGCTTTCTAGTTTTCCTGGCTCCTGAGTTAGCAACTTACTGGA